AATGTATTGACCCAAACAACCCAAACGACCCGAACGTTTGGGGGGAACCGACGTATAGTTTTTCCCATAAACTAACTCTGGATTCGGATGAGAAAGCGTTTGTGTCTCGGGTCAGGTCGGCCTCCACTTCAGGTAACACGGATTCGCCGGAAGGAACTCTGGATGCGTTGATGCAGGCGTTGGTCTGTAAACAGGAGATCGGATGGAGAGACCAATCGGACAAAATCATTGTCGTCGCCACCGATGAAGAGTTTCATTATGCCGGAGACGGAAAGGTTTGATAAAAACTTTTTCATTGATAGTAAAATAAATAATAGTAAATCTGTTGAGACAGTTGGCGGGTATTTTGGTGCCAAACGATGGCGAGTGTCATATGTCTGGCCATAACTATAGCCACTATCATGTGCTGGACTACCCGTCTATGCATCAAATCGCGGAGAAAGTGCGGGAAAACAAATTCAATATTGTGTTTACGGTGACCAACAAAGTGCGGCCCATATATGAAACACTGGCCAACATTATCGGGTCGACGGCTCGAGTGGACACTCTTCAGGACGAGGACAGCACTACAATCATTAACCTCATCGATAAGGTGTACAGCGATATCAGATCGTCGGTTGAACTACGAGTGGAGAGAATGTCTGATTTTATTGAAATTGATTTATACTCCAAATGCGAGAATAAGACTGAGTTTAAGACCAATAAATGCACGTTTAAGGGACGGCCGGACATCACTTTCTACGCCAATATACGGCTCAAGTCGTGTCCTAAAGACCGATCCCTTTGGGACCAAAAGATCAAAATCGGTAATTTAATTGATATGTAATTAGTATTAATTTAATGGCAAACAATTTGATAGGTTTGGCGAATATCAACGAAAGTATTGAAATAGATCTGCGAATGGACTGCGAGTGTGAGTGCGAAAGAGCGGACAAAATCGCGAAAAACTCGGCCGAATGTCATAACGCGGGAACGTTTGCGTGCGGTATATGTGCCGCTTGTAATGGCAACCGAACCGGCGATCAGTGCGAATGCGACCCCGAAAAGCCTATCGACCCCAAGGATCCCGAGGCTCACTGCAAACATCCCGGTAAATGAGATATCGCTTGTAATAAACAATAAATTCTTACTATTTTTACACACTTTACGCTTTGTTAGAGATAACCAACACGTGTAGCGGTCGTGGCTTTTGCGAGTGCGGCAAATGTAACTGTTTTGTGGGCTTTTCGGGCGATTACTGTCAATACGATGACTCTAACTGTCATCCCGACAACGATAAGAATTTTAAGATATGCAACGGAAACGGCAGATGCCTCGAAGCCAAGTGTAACTGTAGTAAAGGGTTTACCGGCAAATACTGCGATTGTCCCACAGATAACCAGACCTGTACCACAACAACCAATGGACAGCAACAGGTGATTAGCAATAAAGTTTAATAAGGGTGATTTTTTAAATATTTGTAATTAATTCTGTTGACAGGTGTGCTCGGGTGAGGGCAAGTGTGTGTGCGGTCAGTGCGAGTGCAACACGAGTTCACAGACCGGCAAATACTGTCAGATATGTCCGCGATGTGAGAGTCAGGCCTATTGTGACCTAATGTTGAGTTGTGTACCGAAAATATGCGAACTCTACGGCACTAATTGTACGGAAAGTTGCGATCGGTTTGACTATAAATTGGTAGACGAGTTGACAGACTTGATGGCCAACAACACCGACGGGTTGTTGACATTCGTAAACCAGTGCCGTAACCGTACGCTCAATAACGAGTGCGACATATCGTTCACATACGAGCGCACCGACGATGAGATCAACAAACGGCTGTCGTTTAAGATCACAAAATTGGATAAGAGTTGCGCCGAGAAAGTGAATTTAGTGGTCGTGTCCGGGAGTGTCATAAGTGGCATAATATTAGTCGGTTTGGCGTTACTATTGATCTGGAAATTGATTGCAGAGATATTGGACCGCAAAGAGTTCGCCAGATTTCAACAAGAGTTGAGTAAAGCTAATTGGGAACAGGTATGCGATCGACAAGTTTTTAGTGATTGATAATTGACTGATTATTTGCAATAAAAATGTGATTATTTGTAGAGTGAGAACCCCCTCTATAAGGAGGCGAAGTCCACGTTTACAAACCCCACGTTTGGCTTACGAGAGAAAAGTATGAAACGAATCTCGCGTCTGACCGACAGAATCTCCCGACGATTTGATTTTAACAAATAAGTCTATGTTTGATATGTTTGTTAAGTTTTTCAAACTTAAAATTGTATTTATTAATTATTAAGACTATATTTAATTGTGTAATCCATTCAGTGTAACACTAAAGTTAAAACATATTAATTATTTTACAATAAAATTTATAATTAATTTAACAAAAAATCATTTTAAGATTTTAATTTTTAAATAATAATTGTTGAGAAAAATCAATCAATAGAAGAGAGACGAGAGTGTAGTTGTCGTCTCTACGGGCGCTCTAAAGAGTTTTTGGGATCAATTGATTTGTGGACAAAGCGCTCGACCACATAGACATAAACAGAGAGACAGTAAGATCCGGAGATAATGAATGTCCAGAGAATGGCAGTGAATTTCAAGGAATGGGATCAACAGATCGACGACATCTCCAACACCGATAACAAAGAGCAGCTCTACTTAGACATGAAGTCTGAGCTGAACGACACCGACAATCAGGTGCCAGTGCTCTGGCGTTTGGCCAAAGTTTGTGTTATGCTTAGTGTCGGCGTTGAGGACAAGAGGCGGCAGAAAGAGTTCGCTTTCGAGGCTCTGGCCTACGGGAAGAGGGCCTGCGATTTGGACGCCCAGTGCGTCGACTGTCATAAGTGGTATTGCGTGGCATTGGGTCGAGTGGCCAAGTATTGCACCATCAAAGACAAAGTGAAATACGGACAAATATTCAA